TTCTCAGGGTTAAATTAAAGGGATTTCTGCATCAGACCAAATGCCCTCCACAAATCCTTTAGGTCTGAGAGTCTGAGCTCATTCATTCTGGGCACCTTCCAGATAGATTTCTTTATTTATTATTTGTTTGCTTATTTATTTATTTATTTATTTATTTATTCATTTGTGGGAGGGTTATGTTTTTGTATTCCTACTGGACAGCTTTGGCTTAGTCTTCATTACAAGTTTGGAATTAATTATTGTGTCTGTTCAGGCGTGCGTGTGTGTTATGTTCTTGTATGTATTCCTACTGCCCAGCTCTGGCTTAGCTTTCCTTACAAGTTTGGAATAACGTTAAGTGTTCATGTGTGTGCATATGTGGTGCTGAGGATTGAGTCCAAGGCCTTGCACATGCCAGGTAACTAACAACTTTGGACTTACATCCCTAGCTCTCAAGATAGGGTCTTGCTATGTAGTCTAGGCTGGCCTTGAACTCTCTATCAGTCTGCATTCATTTCCCGAGTGCTGGGTTTACAGGCGTGCAATGCCACACCTCACTTTTTTTAATTGAATGTTTGCAGTTTTCATATAATATAATTTGATGGTAGATCCCCTCTCTTATCTCCATCTTCCCTTATTGCCCCCCCTGCCCAATTTAATGTAGTCTATTATATATATATATATGGCCTATAGAGTCTAATTTGTGTCCCCAAACATCCTTCACTGTGGGTCCAACCACTGGAGCCTGGTTAACCTACCAAGAGTCTCATGCTTGAAAGAAACTGTCTCTGCCCTTATTATTTTTATTTTATGTCTATGAGTATATTGCCTGCATGTGTGTATGTGCACCCATATTTTGCAGTGCCTAAGGAGGTCAGAAGAGGGCATTGGATCCCCTGGAACTGGAGTTACTTATGGATGGTTGTTAGCTGCCATGTGGGTACTGGGAACCAAACTGAGGTCCTCCCCAAGAGCAGCCTGTGCTCTTAACCGCTGAGTCATCTCCACAGCTCACTTTTATTAACCTTCTAACTGATCACCTGTTTTCTGGTATCCTTGCTCTTTGTTTGTTGCTATGTAATTAATAATTTTAACAGCTTTATTGAAATGTAATTCACATACTACGTCAAGTCCACCTGTTTAAATCTTAATATTTAATGGCTTTTAATAAGTTATAGTGTTACATAAGCATTACCATAATCTAATTTTAGAATATTTCTGTCACCTTCCAATCTTCGAACACATTAGACTTGCTCACAGGGTATTCGCAGGCACCATTAACCCTAGGCATCCACTCTCAGGGGAATTTTGCATAAAAATCAGCTTTCATTGAACTGCACTCCAGTTAAGAGGACTTTGGTAGTGTCTTCCTTATCCAAGTGATTAAGAAAACATACCTCACCTGGGTTCAGATTTTTCTATCATCTGGTTACAGTCTGCTTTTCTGACTTTGACTTTGACCTTTCCCCAGTTCGCAGTAGAGCTCTCGCTTGGCCTTGTTAGGTGGATTCACAGCTTATTTTTGAGAACACTCTGCACACTGTACCTTCCCTTTGGTTTCTACCATTCTACCATCTAAAGCTGTTTATGCTTTTAGGGCTGCCTAACTTGAATCCTGCCGGGTCAGTTTATATGTCCTTTTCTGACTAATTTCACTTGCAAAGACTTAGGCTTTGAATATGAATTTCCATTTAATTATAAACTACCATACCAGGCCTGTTGCTGGTCAGCTTTTTATGTGCATCTGCTGAATCCTTAAATTAATTATAAGCTTCTTGAGGGCCAAGATCCTGGATGCTTTTTTCCTTATATCCTTAGCAGCTTAGCTGAGCCTGTGAATATACACAGTGTGATGTCCTGAATAATTTTGGCATTGAGTGATATGCTGAGCTTGCACTCTGCCAGTCAGACTTTCAGCATTATTAGATATGCCTGTGTTTTTTTTTTTAACTTTTGTAGCTTGAGACCACTTTTTTTCATGAACTCATTTAGTACATGCTTATTAATACTGTATTTTGTCTATTAATTTCTCAAACACCCTGTTCTTAATTTATCCTGCTTTACAATTGAATTCTCCAATAGCTTTCAGCTTTGTATTATTCTTGGAATTTCCTGCTTTTTATAGGACTTTCTTTTGGTATCTTTATACATTACCCAACCTCTACAGAGTTATGGGACCTCTTATCCTTGTTACAGGATTTTATTATTATAGGTGAATGCATAACCTGACTCCAGGGTCTCACGATCATACACTTGATGGTGTCCTACTATTAAGTACCAAGTTCTGAGAAGTGCTGTGCAGTAGTGCAGTAGTGTGGTGACTGCCTTCCTTGGCTTGACTGGGAATGTGAATGGAATTTTTTTAGCTTAAAACAGGAGCAAGAAAAGTACATTTGTTTAGTTAGTTGGTTTCAGTTCAGTTATTTCTCATCAATGCTAATTTCTTGAGGAATGCCTTCTGCTTTGATCACAAGTATTTATAAATAGCACATCTGTTTAGTTAAGTTTCAGCCTCTGAGTGAAGCACAGGGAAGGGCTGCTTTTTCTCTAACGGGTTTCAAAGTAGAAACTTTTCTATTGTTGTTGTTGTATGATAATTTTTTAATGGAACCAAAGATGGTTCGGTTCATACATTTTTTTTTTTCCTTCGTGGTGCAGAGATTGAATCCAGGGCTTCAGACATGCCAGGTAAAGGCTCTGCCACTGAACTATGGGAACTCCCATCCCATAAAATCCAGGGTCTTTATACTAAACATCTCAAGTAAAAACTAGAATTCTGTAAGATTTATTAAGTTGGTAGTATTTATTAAGTAATTTGCCAAGGGCTGTCTTGAAGTTCTGTACAAACTCACAAGCTAATGAACACATTATTAGCCCTTAGGTCCTGTGAAGAAGAGAGCCACAAATGGTTAACTGTCTTTAGGGCACACGGAGAGTGCCGTAACCAGGACTTGGATTCAGATGGTCTAACTGTACAAATGCCCTCATATCTCATACACATTGAACTCTCAGAATTGAAACTTACATAGAAATGAGTAACAAAAATGTCTAAATTCCCAAGGAGCTCAGTCTTCTGGACTGACTTTAAACCCCAAATGATGGTCGACACTATCATGAGGCTACAGTAAAGTAGTGGGTGCTCAGAACTTACAGCATCCTAGGGGAGAACTCGGTTTCTTCTGCCACACAACAGAACTGTAGCCTGGGAGCTAAGGGAGCCCCGTGACTCCTCTTGTTTTTGTGTCTCTAGGGCCTAGCAGCATATTTGATATGTAGAGGGTCATCAGTAGAAGAGCAGCAAGTCTAACCAGTGTGCATTTCAGTGCTGTAACCTCTAGCCATATATGGGCCTTGAATTGTGGTTAAAGTCGAGATCTTTGAAATGGATGTAAAATAGCTTTGTTTTTTATAGTTATTATGTTGAAATGCTAACATTTATTAAAATAAATGATTAAAATTAATTTACCTGTTTCTTTTTACTTTAAAATATGACTACTAGAAAATAAAAAATTACATCAGTGTCTCATACTGACTGTTAGAGAATAAGTGATTTGACCAAGGTTACAAAGTAGCAAAGATGATTTTTAAATTGAGGATCATTATCTTGGGTTCCCAGGCTTCTAGTTTAGTTTTCTTTCTGGCATAAATTAAATTAATACAGTGTAAACATTTACATTCTGAGGTGAGTTGGCACCCTTCTGGTCGTAGTGATGAAGTCATCGTTCTGCTTTATTCTGTCACAGAGCTTAATAATCATTGCAGATTTTTGTTGTTGGTGGTGGTCCATACATTCTGATTTCCAGAAAAATCTGCATGTGAGCTCTCAGGTTTTCACACTTAGCTGCTCTCCGGAGTCCCCTTCCCCTTCCTCCCCCTTTCTCTTCTTCCTCCTCTCCTCCTCCTCACCCTTGATCTTCCCCCTTACCTGTCAGTCAGTACTTGTACAACCTCCAATTTCATAATGTATTTCTATTAACATTCTTCAGATTTTTATCACACCTTTGTCTGAGTCGTAGGGAGATAATTTCTTTGCTGTTCTATGGTGTGTGATACAGAGAGCTGGTTATTTTATTGATGTTATAGAGGCATTAATTATGTCACATAATCCTTTCAAATCTTCATGAAGTATAGGTTGTGTATCCCGATTTTACAGTAATGAAATCTAAGATTTAAGAGAGTAGGATGGTAAAGGACACAACTGACATGTGCAGAATCTGCAAGCCATTTCTGTCACACCTTCTTACTGAATTTTTTTACAATGAACATTTTTGTACACTAAACGACACCTATATGGAAAACCTAGCAAAGCTATTTTCTTCTCCCCTCCCCTTCCCTCTCTTCCTGTCCCCTCCTCTCCCCACCCCTCCCCTGTTTCTGAGACCCAGTTACCATGCAGCCCAAGCTGACCTCAAGCTTAGAATTTGGAATCATCCTGCCTCAGCCTCCTGAGTACTGGGATTTACAGGTGTGTACTAGTACATCTGGCTAAAAGCTATTTTTATTTGAAAAAACAAACAACCCCCCCCCAAAAAAAAACCATGCTTGATGATTCAGAAATAAAAATTTTAGATTAAAATTGTAGAATCCTGTAACGTGTTCTCTGCCAATGCAGTGTTCCTTGGCGTCATGTTCATAGGCCCCAGGTAGCTTCATTCCTCCACAGCCAGTGCTCTGCACACTCTCTCTATCCCTGGGGGAACTTTCTTCTAGACCTGGCATTTATGTGTTCACAAAGATTTTTAATTTTCATTTGCAGTAGCTCATAGTGGTCATATCCTGCAACTATTTTTATGTGCTTTGAATCCAAATTGTCTGCCTGCTTGCTGTGTTTATGGCGTGATGAGTGCTGTAAGGGATCTTGGGTCTCACTGAACCCCCCTATCTGATAAATTTCTAAATTGCCCAGCAGGTGGTTGAAAGTGGGCGACTTTATTTATGGTTCCAGAGCCTTTGAAAAAAGTCCATATTTTCAGTTTGCTTTTCAATATTCAGTGACCCGGTTTATGTTTTTTTTTTTAAAGATGCTAGTGATCAAAGAGAAGATGTTTATATTGGAAACCACATGCCTTGCCCTGAAAACCTCAATGGTTACTGCATCCACGGGAAATGTGAATTCATCTATTCTACTCAAAAGGCTTCTTGTAGGTAAGTCAGTGCCCCCCAGTCAGTGGTGAGAAATTTTTTCTGTCAGTGGTTGCTGCTTTACAGACTAAATAGCACTCAAAACAGTGTTATCTGCAGTAGATTAGTTAAAAAAAAAAATCCCCCCCCAAACCCCACCTCTGGCAAGAATATGAAAAGATATAAACACATTTAATTAGGGTTTTAAGATTGTGAGCTTAATGTCTTTATGATAATTTTTTTAATATGAAAATAAATATGCCATATTCTAACACTATTTTCTTTCAGCAGTCTGTCACAAGGTGCTTGAAGGGTTGAAAAGTACATTAAGGATAGAGGAGAAATAGCTCAAATAAAATGTATGCTGAAATAGACTTCTAAAAATAAAGGAGTAGGAATGAAGAAGCCAGGTTTGGCTTTGGAGAGGGAAGTAGGGAGAGTACAGATCTTCAACTCCTGGATTCCACAGAAGTTACGTAACCTGTTCAAGGTCAACAGCAAGCTGGAAATAGAGCTGGGAGAAAACTAGATCTCAAGTTTCCCAGTGCACACTTCCAGGATCTCAGTGCTTTTTGCTGTGTTGTGTGTGTTCTTACTGCTGTTGGAGTCCCTGCTCTGCCTCAGCTTGGTCTGGTTAGCCAGGCCAAGTTTCCACAGACGAGGTGGTGGGACTTTGCTGTCATTCCAGTCACTGCCTCATCTGGGTGTTGGACACCAGAATCTGTTTCCCTCTTTCAGTCAGAACATCAAAACATAGGGAGGTGTTACGTTTTACTTTTGTTCTATCAGTCCACAGGGCAATGACTCATTTTCCAAGAAGTAACAAGAAACGATTGGTCCTGAAGTCTCCTGGGCCCTCTACTTCTTACTGATTATTTTCTCCTCGCCTCCTGCATAAAGATGAAAGGCAAAGCAAGCGCTGCTAAGTGTTAATGGTTGAATGGCTTTGTTAAACCATTGCCTTTCTCCTGGCTGAACATTCTCCTCCTCCTCTTTGAAGGAGCTAACCTCTTTGTATCCTTTTTTTCCCACTGAAAAAACAGCAACTGTCTAAAAGAAGATGGACCAAGTTAGAAAGCAAATCCCATGGTGGATTCTTTACCTTTGTTCCACAGTGGTATAACTATCTTTGTAGAAATGGACTTGTCTTTTTAGGATAGGGCATCTTTCAAGATACCTACACGGAGCTGGGTGTGGTGGTGTATGTCCGTAATCCCAGCTCTTGGGAAGTGAGGCAGGAAGATAATTCAACATCAATCTGGGCTACATGGTAAATTCCAGACCAGCCAGACCTGCATAGTGAGATGCTGTCTCAAAACAAACAAAACCCATGGAAACAAAACAGAACAGTAACAGTGCAACAGTGCAAAAAACCAGAACAGAACTGGGACAGGCATAGTGTATATAAAGTGCTTAAACGTCAGCATTTAGTATGTAGCACATATTTAATAAATAGCAATTGATATGAAACTATAAGCCCATTACATCAGGGACTCCCATTTTGGTAACACTGCCTTTCCAGTACTTACTATAGGACCTAGCCCAGTAGTGTTAAAAATAAAATCCAAGGACCCCATCAATACCACCCAAAGAACATGTGCAGACAGAGTGAAAGTAACATGGCAAGGCAGATTTTACTTTTGCAAAAGGGTGCTTTGTGGTCAGTCAGATCCATCAAGCACACACAGGACCTGGAAGCATGGTAGGCTTTTATCCCTAATGCAGGAGAACTGTGTCTTTACCCCATTGGCTGAGGTCTGACCTCACAGTCTTTTCAGGTTAGCTAGTTTAAAAGAATCAGCGTTAAGGGAGAGGAGCTCTACTGCCCCAGGCCAACAGGCTCAGGAATGCATCAGGGCCTTAAACAGAAGTCTTATAGGGTACGATGTGATTAAAAGATAACAATTCTTTGTCATAAACCAAGTTCCAAGTTTTACAGGGTTTAAAGAAAAGACTAATAATTAATGTTTCTTAACAGTAGATCTTTAGTAAATGTATTTTTAAATATTGTGACAATTATCAACTTTTTGATCGTCACCAGATCAGAGGAATTTCTTAAATCTTAAAGAATGTCTTTCTTATACATTTATTATTCCTAGAAAGCAGCAGCTCATCTTTCTCTTGGATATTTACAGTGTCTATAAGAATTAAGTCAAAATATCATGTACCTGTACTAGTAGCCAGGGACGAACAACCTTCAGCCACAATCCTATTAGTAGATTAAAATCTAATGTTTTCCCACCATTGATGTACTTGTTTATTTTACATTAAATTCTCTCTGGCACTGGGTTGTTAAACTTACATATGACAGAATAAACTAGTTTATTCTTTATATACCAAATTCTCTCTGGCAGTAGATTGTTAAACTGACATATGACAGGGATTCAGGGATCTTGTCTTCAAAAAATAGTAAGTAACTATAATACAATATGAAAATACTGTCAAACATACACGTGCATGAGATGATTTGGGGTTTCAGAAAAGGCCCCCCAGGCTATAAGGTGTAGGAGACATTGCCAGAGGGGAAGGGTCAAGTTTTACAGGAATATTTGTGCCATCCCATGAATGTAGACTTCATTTTAAAGACATGAAAACCTGTAACTGGCTATCAAGTAGCTGTGATGTGGTAAGATCTGGAAACGCTCTGGTAGCACTGTGGAAAGTAGAAGGACTCAAAGTGGGACTGAATAATGCAGTTGTGCTGGAGATAAGTACATGGATAGTAGAAATAATAAAGTAGCTGAATCCATAGATGCTGGTGACCAGTGGGTTTGAGGACAAGAGCATAGCAGTGGTGGAGGAAAGTGGAGGAAGAGCAGAGACTCCTAGGTGTCCGGTTAGGGCAAAACTGAATAGGAAATACCCTGGGAGGAGTGAAGAGGTTTGGGGGATTTGATGTGTCCAGTGTAACATGCTGGTCTACCATGCCTGTGGATATTCATTTAAGCTGGTGGAGATACTTGGTTTAAGAGCTCATGGGAGATGCAGGTTGAAGAAGTAGGCTTGGGGGTGATTTACCTCTAGCATGTCCCGTCTAGTTTCTATGTAGCAGTCCTTCTACCAACTAGGCCTCACCTGTTCAGTGGCCTTCACACCCCAGATGCCAGATCATTCGCTGTAGTTGATCCCCTGCCTCTGCCTCTTTCACACTGTGTCATGCTCACTTGACGAAACTGCAGTTTTGTTTCATTCCAGCTTCCCAAACCACCACATCACTGAGCATGGCTGCAGTCAGGAAACACAACCAAGCTGTGTCACTTCATGTGTGCCTTCCTCAGTCTGTAGTCAGTCATTGAACTCAAGCCCACGCATCTTCCTACTCCCCTGCCAGGCTCCCTCCTGTATACCTTTACCCTTCTCCTCAGAGAGTACTCAGTCAGCACTTGCCCTCATCCTCTCTGTCAACTGATGAGGCTTTTCCAGACTCACTGAGAAAACTGCAGCAATGTGGAGAGTCTACAGCCTGTCATGAGCACCTGCCAGCAATTTTCTTTTCTCCTTTTTCCTCCATATCTTGATATAAATATATTTTCCATGTTTATAAATACATTATACTTCAGTTTCTTCTGTTAGAAATCCCATCTGATTTCCATTAGCACGTTCCTTCCTTTTGTGGAAGAACTTGAGAGTTGTCTTTATTTTTCTCCAGTTCCCATTTCTGATCTCTCTTGAAACCACTCCAGTAAGTTTTGGTCTTCAGCCCCCTATAGAGTCTGTTTGCATTGGTAAAGTCAGTGGTCAATCTGTCGTGTTAAATAAACCTTTAACTAGTCAGTGGCATTTGGTAAGATTTGGTGGCTCCCTCCTGTGTGATACTCATTCTTCTCCTGCCTGGCTGGACAGTCAGCCTTGGCATGCTGCCTGGTCTTCCCATGTTGCAGTGCACCGCAGTTCAGGCTAGTACTCTTCGCACTTCCTCAGCAATTCTATCCAATCTCTGGACTTTGCAGACACAGCTATGTGGCTCCTAATTTACACAGGTCCCAGTCCTTCCTGTTGAATCTGAGACTCCTCCCTTTACCTTCTTTACATTTTCAGTGGATACCTGGCTGAATCTCAGCAGGACCGAAACTGTCCCTTTCCCTTCCGTTTCCCCTGGCTCCACTTGCATTTTTTTCCATTTTGGTAGATGCTGGCATCATTTTTTCAGAGTTGCTCAGACAAAGTACTTCTGGAACATCTTTGACTCTTTCTTAGGTTCCCCATATCTACTTAGTTGGGAAGTCTCCTTGGCTCTCTATTTCAGAATATAGAAATTTCATCACTGTCACAGTTACCACTGTGTCCCTAGTCCAGCCTCACCTCCCTATATGTGTGCATGTGTGCACACATACTGCCTTTTAACATGACCGTTTATTTTACTTATGCCTTTTGATTCTCACTAGAGGTAAGCTCTTTTTTTTTTTTTTTTTTTTTTTTTTTTTAAAAAACAGTCCCCCCTAACCCCCCCTCTCCCCGGAAGGGGGGAAGTTTTTTTTTAAAAAAAAAAAAAAAATTTTTTTTTTTTTTTTAAAAGACAGGTCTCCCTATAGCCCCATCTGGCCTGGAAGAGGGTAAGTTCTTTTTAGAAAAAAAAAAAATTACTTTTTGTCTGGTGTGGTGGCACATGCCTTTAATGTCAGCACTCGGGAGGCAAAGGAAGGCATATCTCAGTGAGTTCTAGGCCAGCCTAGTCTATGTAGAGAGTTCCAGGCCAGCTAGGGCTACAGGGAGACTGTGTCTCAAAACACAAAAACAAAAAGTTATTTTTTAATCTTTATGTGTATATATGAGTGTGGGCACGTGAGTGCCGTGGTGCACATGTGGAGGTCCTTGTGTTCGCCTTCCACCTCATTTGAGACAAGGTCACGTGTTCACTGCCACGTAGGCCAGACAAACTGGCTCACAGCTTCTGGGAATTTTCCCATCTCTGCCTCCTTCCCATCTCCCCACAGGAGCACACTACCATGTCTGTCTTTATGTGGGTTCTGGGAATCTGAGCTCAGATACGGCGAACACTTTACCCATTAAATATCTCCACACCCTGGAGAGCCTGCTCTTTTGTTTCTATGACTCCCAAATGTTTTCTGCAATAGTACCTGAAACCTGGCAGGTGCTCTGTAAGTGTGCTCAATAATGAGTGAAAGAATCACACTGAAGTCACGGGAGTGAAGGAGAGTATCTGTGGAGGCTGAGTGGGGTGATGGTAGTGGTTATAGTCGGGGGGATTTGGGCTGAACCCCAGAAGAAAAGGTGCCTTAGAACTTAATACTCTAGATATTTGGAGAGTGTGAAAGTCAGTTGCAGAAAGTAATATCCAGAGGGAGTTTCTTCAGTGATATGTGGCCCAAAGGTCCTTTTTGATATTCTGATTTTAATCTTCGAATTAAGCTGAGCTATCAGCTCCACATAGGGTATTGTTATAGCTCTCTCTGGAGCTGTTTTGATTTTACTGACTTTGACTTTGGGCCATTAGCCTACCATGAAGGACATTATTTTAAAAGTCCCATGGGACTTCATTATGGTATTGGATTTATGCTGCTGTGTTATTGAGAATGATATTCTCAGTATTAGAAGGTACCCTCTTTAAATGAGGACCAACGAAAGGAAGTTCCCCTGAGTTTAATAACAGTAGTAACTGCTCCTTTGAAATGACTTGTTTGATTTTATTTTATGGAGATTTCTTTCTGTGTCAGTGCTCTCTCTATCCCCTCTTCTTCCCCTTTCCGTTATCTTCTCCTTCCCTTTCTCTATCCCCTCTCCACCTTCTCCCCCCTTTCTTCCATCCCCTCGCTCCTCCCTCCCTCCCCTTCTTCCCCTCCCTCCCTCTCACCCTCCCTCCATCTCTTTTCTGTCCCCTCCCTCCTCTTCTCTCTCTTTCTCTCTCTCATTCTGTCCTCCTTCCTCCCTCTCCTTTCCAATCCAGTGGCTTTAATACACTACTGCTGCAGTCAATTGTAGCACATTTTTATCACCTCAAAAAGAAATCTCATATCTTTTTCCCGTTACTCCCAAACCTTTGTATCTGCCTGCCCTAGGCAGCCAGTGATCTATTTTCTGTCTCTCCGAGTCACTCCTCCTGAACATTTGATATAAATGGGGTGATGTAATGTGTGCTTTTTCATGTCTCACTTCTTTCTCATGGAATGCTGTTTTTAAGCCTCATCAGCATTATATTTACACACCTGCCCTTTGTTCCTCTTTATGGCTTGGTAACATGTTGTGTGAATAATATCACAAGTTTAAGTCCAGCTGCTGGTTGCATCTGTATACATGTTTCTGACTGTTTTGAGTGGTGCTGGCCTGAGTTTTTGTGTGAGGTTTTTTTTTGTTTGTTTGTTTTGTTTTTTTTGAGACAGGGTCTTGTGCTTGTGAACTCCAAATCTCCATCGGCCTCCTGAGTGCTGGTGTTACAGGCACGGGCCGCCGGACTCTTACTGCCTGTTTGTGTATCTTCTCTGGGTAAATGTCTAAATAGATCCTTTGCCCTTTTCTTAAACATCGGGCAGTTTTTTTTTTTCATGGGGTGGGGTGTTCTTTTTATTATTTGTTCTATTAAAAAAGTGTGTGGTGTGTGTGTGTGTGTGTGTGTGTGTTTGTGTGTGTGTAACTTCTGGGAGCCCGTTCTTGCCTTCCACCTTGTTGAGGCGGAGTCTGTCTTGTTTCTGCACTGTTGTGTATTCCAGGCTAGCTTCCAGGCAGTTCTCCTGCCTCTACCTCCCATTTCCCATCTTCCTGTAGGAGTTCTGGGGTTACAGGTGTGAGTCACTGTTTCAGGCCTTTTACATAGGTTCCAGGGGTCAGGCTTTTGAAGCTGAGCATTTTTACCGGCTGATCCATTTCTCTAGCTCCTTATTTGTTATGTTTCTTATCCACTATGTAATTTGTACTTTTTATTTTCCTTTTTTATAGGCTGTCTTTTCACTTGATAACGTCCCTATGAATAAAAGATCTGAATTTTTATTTTGTTTAGCCTATCATGTTGTTGCAGTTGTTTTTTGCTTTTAGTGTCATCACTAAGGAATTACTGTTCATTCTAAGGTCATGAAAATTTACATCTGTTTTTTCCTAAGGGTTTGTAGCTTTAGTGCCGACATTCAGATCTGTGATCCACTTTGAGTCAATTCAGGGGCATGCTCTGAGGAGGAGGATCATCTTCATTCTTCTGCATGTAACAGGTTCTCAGCCTCTTGGCTCTGGGGACCATATCTCCCCATTGAATTGCCCTGGCACCCTTGTCAAACAGCAGTTGGCTATCACTTGTGGGTTTATGTCTAGTCCATGACCTTGTGCATATGTCTCACTCTTGTCAGTTCCAAGACTGAGAACCTACTGTAGGACTTCCTGGCCGTTGTCCAGGAGCCCCAAGGACTGGGTATACAAACCCACATCATCCTGCCTTCCCCTGCTGCCTTGTACACAGACTCCTTTCCTGTTGTTATTTATAAAATGCTGCTTCAAATCCCTTAGCACAGGTGTGGGGCAGCAGTGAACACACACTGCCCGTACACTTCATGCACTTTACTCATCAGTCCCTACTGAAGTCTTGCTAATTTATGCATATCACTCTGTCAGCTTAAAATATGAATCTCCTGTTAAATATCTTAAGTGTTTCCCCATCAAATTATTACCATCAACTGATGGTAGTGTCTTTATATTTACTTTTAATTGGAATTAGATAATTTCTAAGATTAGCATCCACTCAACTGCCTTGCTCTGTTTAATAACTTATCTTCACATTCCCTTGCATATTAAATGTTTATGCTGCTCACACTGAAAGGTGTGTTGAATATAATTTGGCACTATGCCTGTAGAATTGAAAGTGTTTATTCTTGTTTTTTCAATAATCACATTCCCAGATACCCTAAAAAAAACTCTAAATGGAAAAGTATCTATTCACAAGACATTTATCATACCTTACTTATAAATATGGAAGTTGGGAAACTGATGTATCTGAGAATGGGAAACAGATAAGTTAGTTCTGTTATAGTCCTGGTTGGAATACTGTGAGTCTAGTTTAAAAAGATAGTGATACAGTCAGTTTAGTAACTTCAAGATTGATGTGATTTAGCTTGGATCACTGACGGCACCACACAAGACGTGTCAAAATGGCATTTATTTTTCAGATGGCAGTGAAGTGATTTTTCTATTCCTGTTTAAATTTTGTTGTTCTTTTGTATTTAGTACATTGTATCTTTTTATTCTTTATGTATATCTGAGAGTATAAAATTTTGCATTTTCCATCAGGCATGGTGGTGCACACTTATAATCTCAGTACTTAGAGGTAGAGTCAGGGGAATCAAGAGTTCTAGGACAGTCTAGTGTATATAGTGAGACTTTTGTCTAAAAAAAATGTAATTCTTAAATGTCTGTGGAGTACTCAGCCATAAATGGGACATCTATCTCACCCCCTGCCCCCAAGGCTCAGGGAACGTCACAGAAGAAGGGGGTGGGAAGATTGTAAGAACCAGAGGTCAGGGAGGACCAGGGTGAAGTAGTGTATTCTGGCCATGACAAGACCACTGCACTCACAGCACCTGTGGCCACCTGTACAAGACCTGCACAAGATCAGGCCAGTCAGCCTTTCCTTATGGCGTGAGGAGAGGCTTAGGAGCCCCTACCTTAGAAGAGGACCTATTGACAGCTAATACCAGCAGGAGAAGGAGATTTGATTTTCTTTAGGGGTATGGTCTCTAGTAGGCTGACCATTCTCCAGTGGATGGCCTTGCATTCATATGTATATGGGCAGCACAAATTGGCTTAGAGAGTTATTTAAATTTTTTAATTATTTTAATTTTATGTGTATGAGTGTTTTGCCTGCATGTGTGTAAGTGCACCTGTGTTGTGCAGTGCTTGTGGAGGTCAGAAGAGGGTGTCAGATCCCTTGGAACTGAAGTTATGGTTATTATGGATGGTTGTTAGCCACTCTCTGGGTGTTGGGAACTGAACGTGGGTCCTTTGCAAGAACAGCCAGTGCTTTTAACAGCTAAGTCATCACATCTCTCACTGAATTTTTTTTAAAAAAACAAACAAACAAACAAACAAACAAACAAACAAAAGGACATGAATGTGGGAGAGGGAATGGGGGCATTAAATGATCAAAATGCAAATTGTGTGCATATATGAAATTCTCAAAGGATCAATAAAAATATAGTATTTAACATGTAGATCTCATGGGCATCATGTTTCCCCTTCAGATGTGAATCTGGTTACACTGGACAGCACTGTGAAAAGACAGACTTTAGCATTCTGTATGTGGTGCCCAGCCGGCAGAAGCTCACTCATGTTCTCATCGCAGCCATTATTGGAGCCGTACAGATCGCCATTATAGTAGCAATCGTCATGTGCATAACAAGGTAGGTAATGACCTTAGAGTGACACCTCTAGATGCTGGCAGCTGTAAATTAGTGAACAGCCTTAAAGCACACTCACTGAGACGGGCTGATGCCTACTGATCCATCAGGGAAAATCCCAGGGTGTGTTCAGTGCCATTTCCACATGGATCTAACCTCCCCTGGTCTTGCTGTTGCTTCAGAAAGACCAAAAAAAAAAAAAAGGACAAGAACTCCTTCTCATGGCCAGGGGCAGATCTGGCCTATAGGTGGAGGGGGTTACAACAGTCAACAAAATGAAGGAATTTTGGGATCACGGAGCTGTGTATTATGAACACTCTTGGACAATGGTTGTAGCAGAGTTTCTAGAATTTTCTTTCTATTCACAGAGGAGCCACGCGGCAATGCTTTAAATCTTACAGAATTGTGATGTTTTATGCTTATAGTGAGTATATCAAGAAAGGAAAGAATTGTAAGTTTAAAGATAGCTACTTTTCTGACTACATCATTGCTTTATTTTGTATTCTAGATTATAATGGTAAGTAATAAAAAGTGCTGTCAAAAATAAAACCATTTATCATATATTAGAAGACTTCCTTGACACACACACAATTGACTCTCTGCCAGAAAAAAAAAGAAAAAGGAGGAGAGTGTAAAGATAATGTTCATGGAGCATCAGAACTGAGTCTTAAGGGAGGTCAGAAGCAGCGAGAAAGAAGAAAAGACAGGAGCAGAAGTTCGGGGCATTCTGCTGGGACTCTTCAGTGTAGTCTGACACATATTTCTTCCTGGTTTGAAAAACATTCATTTACTGTCAATTGTGTGTGTGTCAAGGAGATCTTCTAATATATGATAAATGGTTTTATTTTTGACAGCACTTTTTATTACGTTTAGTATGTTGCCCAAGGTCATAGAGCTGGGCAAGCCCCTTTAACAGCTCCTAATCCTGCCTTTTACCTCACTGTGTGTTCTCAGTGTGCTGTAACTCTCACTCAGTAATGTGTCAAGTAGATATTGGCAGGCCATATTGGATGTATAGCCCATCTATCCAAAATCTGGGTAAAGCTAGACCTTCATAGTCCCAGCCCCCTGGAGCTAAAGTAATAAATCTAGAAATGATAGAAAAAGGTTCTCTGAGTAAGTGATATTTTTCATGAAGTTTCAGCACTAAAGTCAGTGTGCTTTATCTCAGAACAGATGATCTGCCTGTAGGCAAGACCACAGAGTATAAAGTTGGGCAGCAGATCAAAGAAGGGACATTATGGCATAACAAATAGTGACAACAGGAAAAGAAGATAGGAAAAAAAAAATCAACAGAGGGCGGGCCGGCTGTGGCCATTTCATGCAAGCTCAGAGGTTAACTCTTTGCCTGTGGTCATCCGGCTAATGACTAAAAGTGCCTGGGTTTGGATTCAGTGCTGTTTGATTCTTGAATCATTCCTCTTACCACTGAACCATGAAGAGGCAGGAAGGGCCCTGTTGTGTTATGTTGGGAAATAGGTCCTCTAAGTGTGACCATTGCATGGGGCCAGGGTTCAGACTGGGTTTTGAGGTTTCAGGATTTTGAGCTGAGGAGAGACTTGTTATATATTTTCCCACAGCATTATTTGAAAGGTTGTGTGCAGGATTTGTTGAGCTAGTTAAGGGGAGACCATTTAGGACATTCATAGGGGAAAGCAGAGTAGGGTACCAAGTCATGTGGAAGGTGAAAGCAAGTGGTAAAAGGAAGAGAAGACTTTGGAGACTCTCCTTGAAGATCCAAGGATGTTGGAGGTCCTGAGAAGCCTGGTGGCATCCAGCTCTTTGGCGATCCAAAGAAACTGAAATCCTGAGTTGAGAAGTATGCTGCTCAAGGTCATAGAGCTGGGCAAGCCCCTGCCTTTTACCTCACTGTATGTTCTCAGTGTGCTGTAACCTTCACTCAGTAGGTTTAAATTACCTGGCATATGTTTTTTATGTTGGCACTGTTGACTTTGTAGCCTAGGTCCTTTTGGTGGCTTCACAGCTTCTTAAATAGTACAGTGGCTCAGCCTTCACTGCCTACGGTCTGTGACTGAAGGGTCATCCTGGTGCATCCTTTACAGTTTTGTCCTTGAAGCCCATCTTTATCTTATATCCCATCTCCCTCCACCCCTGCCGTGGATGGCTTGCTGTCTTGTATTTGGAATATTGTGCTGATTTATGTACTTGGACTTAACCACCATTGAATTTTTAAGGCGTGCCTGTCCCATGTCCTCCATCAGGGGACAGCTGTTCATCTGTGGTGGCTGTTGCTTGTGAGGAATCTCCCTTTAAAAGGATGTTCCTACTGACCCACTTATCTATGAGTCATGTTTCCTTCTTTTATCCTTGGAATCTTTTATGTTTTTTTGAGTTCTAGAATGACAGCTTGGCAGGGATCTCAAACACTGTCTCAGCCAAATTCTATTTTATAGAAGAGAAAACCTTGGTCCCAGGAAGTTGGAGCTTCTCCAAGTCATAGTGGGTTAGTGATAGTCAAAAAGAGTTGCTTGACCTCTCAACCAATTTCCTCATTTGTGAAATAGATAGGATTCGGGCTCTGTCTGTATCAAGCTATTTTTATGAGGATTAGTGAGAGAAAATCTTTTGAAAACCATGTATAAAGTGAGAGCATGTCATTAAGGCTTTTAAGTTAAGGCAAAGCAGTCCTCTTTGAAATTAAATAAAAATGTGGAATGTTGGCGTAGGAACACTCATTATGAGACTTTCTTTCTACCGAGGAAAACTCAGTTTATATTGGTAGTTATTAGTAAGGTCTGAACTCGAAAATTATCAGCATTCCTACCAGCTCCTTCACTCTACATAGCATAGCACCTTGCAAGAACTGATCTTGCAGTTAGTGGGTGGGGAGGAGAGTAGCTATACTAGGTGAGGTTTATACCACAGCAGGGGCACGTTTATTGTAGTATGAGAGCAGAGTCAAGGATTATCTCACCTGCAGAGTCCCAGTGTCCTCTTTAACTATGGTATACCCTGGCCAGTTGCAGAAACTCCTTTGGATCATTGTCCAAAGTCAGTGGATCAACAGTACATTCTTATCTTAGGTTTAGCCCAGAACGACTTGGCTTCCTCCTTCACCCAAGGTTTTCTTGGTATTTTGGTGGTGCCGTAATGCTCAGGAAAAGCCCTCAGGTCAAGGTCTTTTCTACTGTCAGAGCTCTCTTCTGTGATCAGTCATTGGAGCTGGGGAGTTGCCAGGTCACAGGGGCGGCCTTGCCTCTCAGGGATGTGTGTGCAGTAGTGTGGGCACTGGGAATGAGTTTTGCTTGTGTCTGTTCCTAATTTACATGTATTATCCCTCCTGACCCCAGCTCTATAGCAGATTTACCAACCTGCCATGACGTTTGTCCTCATCTTATCTTTAACTGAACAGTTCTTGTTCCCTCTCCACGCAACTGTGTGTAGTGTGGCTCTATGTGTGCTTTGTTGTTACTTAGACCCAGTTGAAATATCCTTAACAAAGTGTTCTTTTTATCTTTATTTTCATGCAACAGAAAATGCCCCAAAAACAACAGAGGACGCCGACAGAAGCAAAACCTAGGTCATTTTACTTCGGACACTTCATCCAGAATGGTTTGAACTGATGACTTTTATATGCACACTGACCATGTGATGTACATTTATTATGTCTTTTTTTAAAGAATGGAAATATTTATTTCAGAGGCCTTATTTTTGGACATTTTTAGTGTAGTCCTGTTAGCTCGTATTTAGAATATTTAACTACAACAGTTTGGGACTGTTTAGTAGTCTTTGTTTTATGTTTTTAAATACAGAAATTGATTTCACGAATTTGTACCACATGGTAATACTAAGACTTGTTCTTTACCCATGGAATGTAATATTTTTGCAAAGATGGACCCACTTCACAAGTGGTTATAAAGTCATACTTCTTCCCCAGTGACCACAGCAAATGGCAAAGCATGAACTAAAGGTAAAGATGTTTACAGATTACTTTTCTTACAAAACAGATCTAGAAGACACTGTGTTTAAATAGATATTTAAATGTTTTTGAGATTTAGTACCTGATTTTTTAGACATTGCCTACCGCATGAACTGTAAAGCTGTGTGTATGTTAGATGTAAAATATTTATAAGCTGTATGGACTGGAATTTGACTATTCCGCTCTTTGAAAACATAATTCTGACAATTTGAAAAGGTACCAGAGAATATTGATGGAACAAATCACCGAAAAGTGGATTTAGATACTTTCTAAATAGACTGTTTAATAAGCAGATTGGCATAAAACCTTACATTATCAGTTGAAACTTTAATACACGTTCATTTTAAACACAATGTTTGTTTTAATATAAATATACAAATTGTATCAGTGTTTGTGAATACAATGCAAAAATAATTGTTAATGATTGGTGCTCTGAAAGTGAGCTTAAAAATGACCTACAACCTCTATTCAAATTTGTCCCGTAGTAATAGCTGAATTAATAGACTGTTGATGTTTAAAGGTCTGAAGTGTGAGTAGGACTGTATTGAGGTGTTTAACGTGTAGTGTAGCCACTCCAAATTATGCATGTAGAATTTAAAGACTATGTTCAGATTTAAATATTAATTTTAATAATTTGGTTTGGAAAGCATGTTATAATATAATGTTTTCACTATACAGTCTGTTTTGTGTGCTTATTTATTATATATGTTTTGATATTGCTGTGTCAGTACAGGTGAAATTAGCAGAAAATATTTCAGTTCAAAATTTCTTTTTGCTTTTACAAACTGCTGCTTGAAATGATCCAAAGTCAAAAAGCTTCTCCCAAGATTTGGAGTTTGCATTTTGTTACTTGGCTTGTAGGCTTAGAATGAGCGACATCGTGGCTTAGGGAACTTCTTCAAACTGCTTTCCTCTTCCACCCACACAGGCTTATTTGAGTCCCTTAGTCAGTCAGCAAGCATGTTTGGAACCATCCCCAGTGCTTTGCAAGGGCTCGTGTTGCAGAGCAGTCACGTATGGGCATTTGTAGTTATAAATACTTGACCACTCTCCAGGGTGGGGTTTTCAACCTTTTAAGCAGCTTTGTTCCCTGTTACCAAGCTGACTTTTGGCCTCAAGTGCCAGAATTGATTGCTATAGGGTCAGTCTTTCTCTGAGAAAGAAATAAAATGGAACATACTGGGTCTGCTTCAAATGCTGGTAAAGTCCACCAGAATCGCCTGTCCGATGTTACTGAAGATGAAGACCAGGATGCTGCTCTTACCATTGTGACTGTGCTAGACAAAGTAGCCACTATCGTGGACAGTGTGCAGGCAAGCCAGAAGAGAATAGAGGAGAGACACAGAGAGATGGAAAATGCTATCAAATCTGTCCAGATTGACCTGCTGAAGCTGTCACAGTCACACAGCAATACGGGCTATGTCATCAACAAGCTGTTTGAGAAGACACGGAAAGTCAGTGCTCACATTAAAGATGTGAAGGCCCGGGTGGAAAAGCAGCAAGTGCATGTAACCAAAGTTGAAACCAAGCAAGAAGAAATAATGAAGAAAAACAAGTTCCGCGTGGTAATATTCCAGGTACACTTGCATTTCTGTTCAGCTTGATGAGTCTAATCTCTTGCATCCTATAATTGTCACCAGGTCGCAGGAGTTCCCAGTGTTACATCTTAGCCACTCATCTATGGTCATGCAGGGGAGCTCGGGATGCAGCCATTTCTATTTTAACTGATGCTACTATCATATTTGTGTTTGGGCTTCTTACCGTTTCATGTAATATGAACTGTAGCTCATGGCTATATTTTTTGCTTTTGAAACTTAATATTGGTCAGACTCTCAGCATATTAGCTGTATTACTGAGCATAGACTTTGAGCATGTCAGAGCTAGAAGAGTCCAAAGAAATCTCAGATTTAAAACACTTCTTGTTGCATAAAAGAAGAGACTGGGAAGGGCTGAGGACACAGTTCGGTGCCAGAACACTTGACTAGCATGGGTGATGCTTGCATTTGATCCATGGCATCCCCCTAAAAGACAAGTTAGCTGGGAACCCCACAATCATGGCTTTACTTTTACCACAGAAAGCCTAGAAAGCCCAGCCAGCAAATTATAAACTTTTTAGAATGTAGTTTGTCTATAGGAATTTTTATGTGTTAGTCACAATAATAAAAAGTTAGCTATTTCTCAATGAATATTCAGGTGATTTATTAGTTTTTTAAACTTTTATTGGTTTTTGTGATGCACTCCAGCCTGTAGCCGTAAGGTAATATGTAGTTCAAGCTATCCTCAAAGTTAGGCCAATGCTCCTGCCTCAAATTCCCAAGTGCTAGGATTATAGGCATGAGCCACCATGTCAGCTTAAATTTTATTTTTTAATATTGTAATGGTATAACATAGATGTAGAAGTTCCATAAATAATTCCTTAATTGATTGCAAAGTCTTTTTACTTAGCTGATTTGATATAATTGTGTGTGCCACTGCACATTGAGCTAAGTCCCTGTAAGTGCTCAGTCTCCCCCACCTGTTGGAACATACCATAGTAAATGTATAATGACTATATAGTGTATTTTTTAAATACTTATAAATTAAGGAACAAGTCGAACTTTTCTCCGACAGTTTAAAAAAAAAAATGAGAGAAGCGTCACCTGGAAGTTTATGTACAATAAACAAGAGTGGAATTCCTTTTTTTAAAAAAAACTTATTTAAACCCTGGCCATCACAGAAATGTAAATTCAGAGTGTGAGGGTTCGAGAAAAAAAGTTCTTTGATGTTCTGCTACGGGAGGCCTTAGTTGGCACAACGGCTCTGAAGGCATTTATTTTTAATAGTGTGTGTTATGAACTTAAAAATTTCCCAAACCTTCTGACCCCCTAATTTCATGTCAAAGAATGTGTTCTAAGTGTAAAAGCAAGAAAGCAAGAACGTGTGTGGAAATGTTTACTGGTGCCTGTGCACGGCTATCCATGAAAATCAATGCGTATAAGGAAAAACCCTAAAAGAATAAAACAAATTGAAGTAAGAGCTCAGTTGGGTTACATGGGCAGATATTTTCTGTAAATACCAGGGATGTGGCCCGTACTCTTCACGTTCTTTATGCATGAGTCAGTGCTCTATTGCTCTTTGTTGAGTGGTCGAGTTACACTGAAATGAGAGAGTGATATTTTTGGATGTTTTTAAATGTTCATGGGTTATTTAGGAAAAAGAATAGGGAGGAGAGAGGCCCTGAGGTGCTTATTTCAAAGAGAGAGCGGACTGGGCCATTAGAGTCCTTTATACCCCCCTCCCCTGTCTCTTTCTTCCCAGGTTCCCCAAAGCTCTTCTCTAGGCTGAATGTAACCTTACTCTTGGTTGGCGGTTTCAGTGTTCGTCCATACCATGGTGAACTGGATATGGTATTGGAGAATGTGTCCATTCTTCAGTTCAGCTTCCAAAGGTATCAGCCAGTGCCTGGGAGCTCACCTTCCATTGCCTTAAGTGTGCTAGGACTTGGGGTCCCATACTTCTGAGGACCTATGTCCAAAGCATCAGACCAGGCTCTCATCAGGACTCACAAAAGTTACAGCAAAGCAGCTGCTGAGAAAATTCGAACTGGCGTTGTCTATCGATGTAAACCCCCAGCCCCCACACACCCAGCCCTTTAAAGTTGTTTTCCTTTTTGTCTCTTTATTCCCTGTTTCTTACTGGCCATTTTCCCCCTTGTTGGGCCCTGTGGTTATTAGAGGAACTGAGAGGTAGTAGTTAAAAGCAGGCCTCTTTTCTTTTAAGACAGAATGTCTTAAGGAGAATGTCTGTGAAATTAAGTTGTTCAGATTAGGTGAGTTTGTCAGAAAAACAATTACTGTCTTTTATAAGCCTGCAGAGAAAATACTGAGGCACATACAATGGACATAGAATTCAGATTCATACATTCATTAAATGTTAGAACATGTACATGATATTCACATGGTTATTCTTAGTAGTCCAGTTAAAATTAGTTATAATTCTCAGAGCTAATAAGTAGATGTGGTCATTTGAAAATTGTCCCTTAGTCATTTAAAGTATACATTTATTTCCACTAAGTTTTCCCAAACATTTCCCCGGATATATCTTTCTACCATGATCTTTACTGGTTGTGTATGGATAAGCTTTTGATGAATCCTGGATACTGGCATTTAAAAAATTACCTGGTATAGAAATACACAGGTATAAGCCGGGCATGGTGGTGGTTCGTCTCAGGAGGCAGAGGCAGGCAGATCTCTGTGAGTTTGAGGCCAGTTGGGGCTACAGGGAGTCTCAAAAAGGCAAGAAAAGAGAAAAAAAAAGAAATACACTGGCTGGCATGTTTTTTTCTTTGAACACATTTGCACATTGGTGACCCCTCTCATCACATATGCCAGGAGTCATAGCATATCTTCTCAAATTTTAGTTACTTACTAAGCACGAGTTTATGGTTACCAAATAAGTCACTAAGGATAAGTCCCAGACTTCTATGTATTCAAATTTCCGCTATCTGCTTTACTTTCATATTCATTCAATTCCACTTTATTCTCACCCGTGTATTCATTCTGTTACAAAAATGTTATTTTTGACTAGGTGTGGTGGTGTAGACCTGTAATCTTCCCACTTGGGAAGTAGACTGGTGGATCAGGAATTCCAATACACTGAATTTGAGGCCAGCCTGGGCTACGTGAGACTGTCTCAAAAACAACAACAAAAAGCTACTTTTACCTCAACCTGACATAAACAGGTATCATATTTGGAAGTCAGCTCTAGTTCAACTTCCACAATTGTTGGTTCAGTGTGTTTGCTAACTCATGGCATCACTGATTCCGGGATGGTAATGGATTTCTGGGCAGTAGATTTTACCCCTTCCTCAGCTTTACTTGGTTTCGAAGCTTGCTTTTGTGCTTTGTGCTGTGCAGTTGAAGCGAAGCATTCGAGATTCTGGGATGCTATCTGACGTCTCCACAGCAAGACTGTGGGGTTTCTCCTGACCAGGCAATTACTCTTCAGTTCCTGCTTTTTGAATTACTCCTCCTCAGGCTAACCCAGCCCACAGTGTTGTTGATCTGATGCTGGTCCCCACAGCAGGTGTCAGGAAGGGAGTGGAATAACTTTACTGCCTCTCACTCATCAGAGTTATGAGACACCACCTCTGCCTTTTTTTTTTTTTTTTTTAAAGCTCCTAGACACTCCAATTCTGTAGCCAAAGAATTTAACTTTAAATATCCTCTGGAATAAGAGTCTAAGGATTCTTGACCATCAGGCTGATTGTTTTAGAGTATGTGCAAATATACTTCTTATAATTTATTGTATCTCCTTATTAATTGAGTAGACTTAATCTGGATCTCAAGTAGCAATGTTTTTGCAGTTTGTTCTCTTTGCCTCCCTGGCTTTCTCTCTCCTCAGCTGCCTGACACACCTCATTTTTATTCTTTCTACAGCTTCAAAAATCTGACTCTCAATCTGAGACACTCAAATCTGAGACACTCAAATCTCAAAACATTCTGAAAACAAAACCTAAAAATATATTTTCTTTTATTTCTTCACTTTGTGTTATTGTTTGTTTGTTTGTTTGTTTGTTTGTTTGTTTGTTGTTATTAGGCACAGAGCCGTTCTGGACGTGGCCCTCCTACTGCTCTCTTTCCTCCTCGTGCCCCTTGGTCTCTGCTCCAGCCGGACGGCCTCCTCGATGTTCACCCTTCTTCCTCAGCTTCCTACCTTGTTCATAAGGTCTTTGTGACTACTGTGTTTTCAGATGTCACCGTCCCCTGTCAGCAGACACTCCTTTCCCTTCTGTTCCCCTTGAATTTATTACCATCCAACATGTGCGTTCTCTCTTTGTCTAAGAGCTGAAGCTTTTACTGTAAGTTTCCTTCAGATGTCTCCAGGTTCTAGAATATTAAGTGATACATGGTAACTTAGTAACTCTGTGCTGAAGTCATTCATTAAGTATACCTAGTATGTTCAACATGCACAGGTGCTGCATACAAATAATGAATAAGACGCATCCCTGCCTTGAATGATGCTGTCATCTTACGAGGGCCTCAGGAGAACATGTATAAGAAGGGGGGCTGTCCAGCTCATTTCAGACTGTTGTACATGGTCTTCCTGTGTAAAGTGGAGACAAAACTAGCTACTTGGGGAAGTTTGGATGTTTGAATTGATTCTTAAAGCCACCACTTGTAAAGCTAAAAACAATAAAGAGCCATTGACAGTATCAGCAACCATGTTTGAAAGTGTAGAGCATTAGTGTCCAATCTTTTACATTGCAATATGATGTTGCCATCTATAAGCCTGTAGGGCCACATTCATGGCTGTCTGGGACGTACATGGCTGGTGGCTCATGGGTTGGACACACTGTGTAGAGGGTTGAAAACATTTTGTGTTTGAGGAACTTGAGAGTGCTGTATGCTACTGGGCTGGAGAACAGGGAATGTAGGGTCTGGGCAGATAGAGGAGCCTTTTAAGCCTAATGCAGAATTCAGACTCTGCTTGAGTACTGATGAACTCCTAAATGTCTTCCATGGATTATAATCAGGCTATGCTATGGAAATATTTCTCAGGAAATCCTTAGGGGATGATCTAGAGGGAGAGAGATCAGAAAAGACTGAAGGCATAAGTTTAGGACTAGATGTTGAGGAGCTGAATGAAGATATTGGTAGGGCTCCTGTGAACTGGAGCTGTGTTCCCTCCCCTGAGCTATAGTTGTGGTCCCCTCCTATGAGCTGGAACTGTGATCAACCTCCCCCCACCCTGTGAACCTAGAGCTGTCCTCTTGCATGAATTTGTAGTCCCCTTCTGTGACCTGAAGCTGTGGTCCCCAACCATGAGCCACGGTTCCACATTCCTCTGGTGGTTGGCTGATGATGGAGCAGATTGGAGGATGGAGGACTTCCTGATGTTGAACAACATTTTCAGAATTCTCTGAGTTGGCTGCATTGTTCTCGCCCCCCCCGCCCCCAGGTCCCAGCTTTTGCATGGCAGTGGCTTTGTCTCTGTGTTGGGCTTATCCTGGGGACAGGGAAGGTTTCTGTCATTTGAAGATTGTAACTTTGGGAGAACTGATTCTCTAGAATGGACCTGTCACTGCCCTTGACGGCCAGTTATGGTCTTTGCTCCACGTGAGGTCCTGGCCATCCAGGTCTTGATGTTGGACCTTCCCGTTCCCAGGCACCAAGAGGTTTTCCAGCCTTCTATTACTGTTCTCCAGCCCAGTCTGCCTGTGCCCTACAGGAAATATAAATCACCAAGTTGCACTTCTGGAGATAAAAATCACAGTCTGGGAAGTTAAACAAACAAAACAAAAACAGAAAAACAACTTTAATAACCAAAACTGATAGAACTCTCAAACTGAAAATATGTAAATATATTTTAGAATGTAAAGTTGCAATTCTAAATGTCTACTATAGTTTTTGAGCATTATTTACTGAAAACTACTACCAAACTTCAACAATACTGTGAGATTTCTCACTGTTGGTGTGTAAGTTTGGCATTCCTTTCCCTTCCAAATTTTCCAACCTATATAAACTTTTTTACAGTGTAAGCACGTTATTTTTTTTAAAGCAATGCTAATAAAATAGGTATATAATCAGACACTCATAATAAATTACAAAGGGATGTATTTTAAAATACTTCTTTAGTATGGATGTAATTTGACCATTTATTTAAAGACAAAGGCAAATTTGCATATAAGAAGCTATTGGTAGAGGATTGGGGAGCAAACAGATGAATAGTAGTGTGTCATCGATAGAACTTGATGACTGGTTGAGTATGGACGGAGGGAGAGGATGCATTTGGGGTGGTCTTTCTGAGACTTGTGTGGCACCCAGGTGGTTACTGGCACTGAGGTAAAGGAAAGGAGATGCAAGTAAAGAGGGTAATGAATGGATTTGAATTTTGTACCTTAAGGTGCCTATATTACATCTAGATAGAGAAACTTGTCCATCAGTCATCTTAGTAGGAGCGGATAGGTGACCGACCATATAATATTTGTAAGAAATACTGTATTGACCAAAGAGAGAGACCTTCAGAAATGCCAATTTTAAGGACCAGGCAGAAGATAAACAGCGTGGAGGAGGGTTGCAAAGTATGGCCAGAGGTAAAAGCTGATCCTACTGCACAGGAAGTACTCACTCACGCTTTGCTTTTCTCTCCTACAGGAGGAGATTCAGTGTCCCACATCCCTGTCTATTGTTAAAGACAGAAGTCTACCTGAGAACCAGGAGGAGGAAGAGGAAATCTTTGATCCCCCAATAGATCTCTCATCGGATGAAGAATATTATATTGAAGAAAGCAGATCTGCCAGGTTTAGAAAGTCAGGCAAGGAGCACATTGATCATATCAAAAAGGCGTTTTCCAAAGAAAACATGCAGAAGACACGGCAGAATTTTGACAAGAAAGTGAGCAGAATTAGAACCAGAATAGTCACGCCTGAGAGGAGAGAGAGACTGAGGCAGTCAGGAGAGAGACTGAGGCAATCGGGAGAGAGGCTGAGGCAATCGGGAGAGAGGCTGAAACAGTCCGGGGAAAGATTTAAGAAATCTATTTCGAATGCTGCTCCCTCAAAGGAAGCTTTTAAGATACGCAGCCTTAGGAAAGCTAAGGACCCCAAGGCTGGAGGTCAGGATGGGGACAGGGAGATGGGTGTGGACATCATTACAGGCAGCCCGGCCCTGGGCCCCATCCATGAGTTTCACCCTGATGAGCTCACCGAAACAGAAGAGGAGGTGGCCAGGGTAGGGTACACTCCCCAAGAAGGAGGAAACCCCCCAACTCCTGAGCCATTGAAGGTGACTTTTAAACCTCAGGTTAGAGTGGAGGATGACGAGTCACTCTTGGTGGATTTAAAGCAGTCGTCATAAAGAGGAATTAAGTATAAACATAAATTTGTTTAATCCTGCAGTTGTAGTTTGAATAGCATAGTCATTTCTTTTATATGCCAATAGGAAAATAAATGGTATGACTGTTTCTTGTATAATATACATATTATATACTTTTTCTCCTAAATTCCTTGAGAATTCTTTTTATTTCCCCTGAGCATATTACGATTCTGATGGCTTTTTCTTTTCATATGCCACCTTTTCATGGCAGCTGTGGTTTTTTAAAAATTCCTTTCTCTTGGCCCCTGAGAAAATAGTTGCCTGGCTCAGGTCAGTTATGTGCTTGGTCATTCATGAAGGACAAACTGGAGATTTGAGTCAGTCTCAAAGGGAAGTAACTAATGTGTAGATCATATCATCCATATGTTCACATCAAGAGATGCATTAGTAAAGTGGTAATGACACTCCCTTTGAAGCTCTTGGGGGGGCACAGATTAAAGCAGTTAGCTGTAGCACCATAGCTTTTTTACGAGTGAGAGATTTGGCAAGTTGCCTGCTTATTCTTCCTGATAGGAATGGGGAGGGTTTGCCTGCCCTGCCCTCCTTGAGAGATTTGTGAAGATCAAAGGGGACATCACATGCTTTGTGGGAACGAGATGCACATCCAGGAAAGTGTAAACCACGCTGGTTCCTCAAAACAGAATGAAACAGTGACACCTTGTGAGAAGCCCCTCAACACCAGGTAGTGAGGGCCTGCCTGGCTTGAACAGAAACTAAAGCTGGTCTTCAGAAGTCTGCTTCCAGAATCAGGAGTGGAAAAGAAATCTTTGGATGTCCACTTTTTCATCATCAAAGACTGAAAATAAACCTGGGGTTTTAGCTGGGTCGTAACATGTTCCTTGGAAAATGTTTATAATTTTTCTTAGGTTTGGATGTGAGGTGGACTGTTGTAGCTTTTTTTTTTTTGAGCAGCTTGAGGTGGAAAGCTGGGGCTCTGTTGTCAAATGGATTTTCTAAAGTCTGCTGTGATGTGGTGGGCATGGAAGTGACCTTCAACATTTATGTTTTAATGATCCCTTTAGGGCCCACCCGTCTAAAACACTAGCTGTAAGCATTTGTCACAACCATGTGGAGAAAGTCAGATTCCACTTAGCTCTTGGATTTAGGCCTGCGCAGTCAAGTAGCTGTTGCTGCTAAAGGAACAGACATGCTGATTCTGCACTTCCAGCGTGCTGAAGTCTTCCCATCATTTTAATTTTTGTTCTTTTTGAGACAGGGTCTCCCTGTAGCCCCAAGCTGGCCCGGAACTTGCTTTGTAGACCAGGCTGGCCTTGAACTCACAGAGACCCACCTGCCTCTGCCTCCAGAGTGCTGGGATTAAAGGCGGCCTCCACCATGCCTAGCTGCCCTCATTTTTTTTAATATGGCAGAAATGGTAGAATTATTGATGTTTGATCCCGTTTTTTTCTGATGTTTGGTTCAATTTTGAATAATCACATAGTAGTTAAAAATATGCAGGCATGGGAATGCATGCCTGAATCTAGAACTTAAAAGACCGAGGCAGGAGTATCATAGGTGAATGTGAGGCCAGACTGGACTATTAAAAACAGTACAGGGGCTGGAGAGATGGCTCAGCGGTTAAGAGCACCAGCTGCTTTTGCAGAGAAACTGGGGGTTTTGTTCCCAGTACCCACATGGTTGCTAATAACTTGCTGTAATTCCAGTTCTAGGGGATCTGACTCTTCTCGCCTCCTTGGGCATTGCATGACATGGGTGCACTTACATCCACGAAGGCAAAACACTCAAACACATACAATATTAAATAAATTAAAAAGTATATATACACTCATGTACATACATAGAGTCAGCTTTAAAGCATTTAACTCAGTTACCCAGATGGGTGAGTTTGATTCAGCATAATTTTCTTTTCACTCAGCCCAAAGACATAAGATGACAATTTTGTTATGTTTTTAATAGAAAACTAAAACATATGCAACATTGAATAAAATGTTGAAAGAATAATTCTAAAAACATTTTTATTACAGCTTACAAGGAGCTTGGACGGCCAATAATGAGTTTGGACTGCCAATAATAAATTTAAATTTAAAAGGACGTTATTCCGAAATGTGGTGTCAGTGTCATAGCTGTAAATGTTTTAACCAATGATGAATGGAAAGGGCAGCATGCAAATGAAGCCTGAGGTAGTAGTCCTTTGAGGCTAGGAAGAATATAGAAAAGTTACAAGAGTTTTGTTTCTAGTACTGTGCATCAGTTGAGCTAAAATATTTTTCTGCATATATCAAGGAATTTTGTTTACTGACATGTTATATAACTAGCTTGACATCTTATGAAATATTACACATGTCGATATATTAGAATTTGACAGGGAAGGAGTTATAAACCTGATAAATTCTTCATCCTCATAGAGTTTATGCAACTCCAGAAACACTAAAACAGTTTCATGCTCCTAGAAGTTCATGGTAATTTTGTGCTGTGTTCTTGCTACCCAGAAGTTTCCCTCTATGTCATAAATGTCTGTCGACATTTCTTCCCATGTTTAATTCCTAATGCCCCTGTTCTTTATTTCTTTTACTTTCACCCTGCTTTCTTGGTGCAAAGATAAGGGGCTGTAAATCTCACATCCCGTTTAACATAAGGAATAGTCTAGACAATGTTATTTTGAAAGTTTCAGAGAACACCAAACGGGTTGCTTACTCCTCTGTGATATGGAGATTGTTCACATCAGACTTTAAACAATTTATTCACGAGAAACACTTAGTAGGACTTAACCCTTTCCACATAATGACGCAGAGCAGTGCAGCAGCCATGGACACCAGGGGAGGGGCACTCACTTCAAAGCTCTTCAGAGTAGAAAGAAGGGACGTGCAAGTGTGTGTGCTGCCGGTGATGGTCCAGGTGTCCTGAGCGAACAGCATCCTGACTCAACGCTTACAGGTTGGAGAAGCTGCTGATGCAGGACACTGGAGTACATGGAAGTTCATCTTGGTGACAGTGGACTTGTGTACGTTCCCAAAAGCAAGTTTTCATAAATGAAAGATACAAACCCAATTTAAAAAAAAAATACAAACCATTTTGACTTCATTCTTTGCTTTCGTACACATTAAAGGATTTGGTTGAGAACAGACCTGATGTTTGTGATGATTCTTTTAGTTATTTAGTTATTTATGTTCATGTGTGTGTGTTTCTCTGTATGTGATTGTATACTCACATGTGCAGGTACAGGTGTGGAGGTCGGAGGGACCGCTTGGGGTGTCCTCTGTCATTCACTGTCTTACTCTTTGGAGACAGGGTCTCTCCCTGAGCCTGGTGCTTGAATTTTCTCAGCTAGACAGGAAGCTAGAAAGTTCCACTAGCCTCCTGTCTCTGCCCTCCTTGGAGCTATTACAGGTGAACTGCTTTCATGGGCGCTGGGATCCGAACTCTGGTCCTTATGACTGAGTAGCAAATGCTCTTGACTCCAGAGCCACTCCAGCCCCTCGTTGTGATTCTTATCAGCTAAAGGGTATGGGTCCTGGTATACAAAATACTCCAAGAACTGTTGTTAACTGTGCACTTTGATTAAAAGAAATCACTGGACTTTTTTTTTTTCCTTCCCCTTATAAGACAGGTTTTCTATAGCTTCTTTCATTGAACTCTGCTAAGAAAATTTACAGTTTTTGATTTCCAAATAAGGGGAGGGATCATTATGTTTTCATTGTCAATTCCATTTCACTTTAAGGCACGACAGCACTTGGTCTACTGCAAAAGAGCAGCAAAGAAGCTTCCTGCTAAATTCCGTGCCACTGTCATGGCTGTTTGGACTTAGGTGATGTCTGAGGATTTGCAGCTGTCCCACTCAGATCAGAATCAAATAGTAAGAGATCTGGATTAGCTGCTGTTGCGTTGAGTTTCTTAGGACTCACCTAACCAAAGACTGCAAGGAGCGCCTTTCCTCAGAGTAGAAGCTGCCCTCCCCGAAGACACCCACGCCCTTGAGAAGCAGAACTGCCTTGTGAGTTGAAGGCCGCTGAGCTCCGCAGTCTGTTCTTTGCCCAGAAGGCCAGAGTTCTGCCTACTTGTGTGTTCCAAGGAAAAGCAATGCCTGATTCTTAGAATGGGTTTTCTCTCCTGTATTCTTTCACATCTGAAGAGTCCAGCTAAAGCTGAGCTTTTTTCCAGATGCTGTTAACCTGCTACATTGGCCACGGTCAGTTGCCCAGGTATATGTGGCCTGCTCAGATCAGCTGCCTTGTATGCAGCAAGAGCCTCTAACTCATCATGGGTTATTTGGTTTCTCCTTTTTAAAAATATATTTTTTTTTATGTGTATGAGTGTATTTCCTGCATGTGTGAAAGTGCAGCTGTGTTGTGCAGTCAGTGCACCCGGAGGTCAGAAGAGGGCATTGAATCCCCTGGTACTGGAGTTACAGACGGTTTGTAGCTGCCATGTAGGTGTTGGGAATCGAACCCGGGTCCTCTGCAAGAGTAGTCAGTGCTCTTAACTGCTGAGCCATCTCTCCAGCCTAGTTCTTTGGTTTCGTATCTGATCCTTTGGTGTCTGTCAGCTTGGATCTGAGTCATAGCATCTGAATGTACTAGGGGCTGAAGATGGGTTTGATACAACCCTTTATATTTCTCTGATGGAAACTTCATGCAAGGTTTGGCAGCAAAATGGAGACTTAAGGCACCATCTTTATTGTGGGATGTGCATATGTCTAGTAAATCTCCATCTGGCAAATTCTTTTGACAAAGGTGACCTAGATCCAGGACAGGAAAGGGCCCCACGGGTCTCCTTGGGGACCTGCATGCCCTGGTGTGGCTGCAAGAAATGCAAGGTTTGCAGTGGGAGACACCATTTCATCATCTGGTAGTGAGGCTTGCAGGCCTGCCTCATACAGTCAGCCTCTGGGAATAGCTGCAAGCTTCCCTTCTGAGCTGAGCCCCAACTTGAGCGGACAATGTTAAGGAGACAGCGGGTGGAGCAGCTAGGACTCCTGGGGTGCAAAAGCCACATCTGAATGTAAGGTCCAGTTTAAAGTCACAGCCTGGTTTGTGTTTTTGAGACGTAATTTGTAGTGTTAAAAGTAGCCCAATGAATTTGGCTGGTGTCCCTACTGAGGCCTGTTTGGAACCCACTGAATTGAAGTTCTAGTCTTAAATTAGGACTGATGGAAGAGGTTGATGAGTTGGACATTATAGATTACAGCCTAGAGGAGGGTGGGATACACACTTTTCAGGGGAGAAGTGGAGAGACATCTCATGTATCTCTGGCTGGCTACCAACTTGTTATGTATGTAGCCAAGGATAACCTACCTCCACCAGGGACCTCATACACATTAGGCAAACTTTCTTCCAACTGAGCTAATATTCCAGCCTGATACTCTTTAAAGTATAGATAAATGAAGTGATGGGTTTTCATGAGGAAATTCAGGCAATTTGAAAGTGGATGATCTTAGAGTTGACAAAATTCCAAATTAAGCTGCTCTTTTGAGGAAAACTTTCTCCTGGTTACTCTGTGACATAATTACTTAGGACTGGAAGTCTCTATCAGACACTGGTTCCTGGCCTCCCTCAACTCCCAACTTGATTTACTTCAAGAGGAATGTGACATGCTCTAAGTGGACATTTAGAACTATACTGAAGTGCCACAGTGTGTAGGGTTTGGCTTAAATTCCTTGCTGCAAGTCCATTAAGATATTACTGGTTTTCCCACTGTGTAATACTGTAAAGTTGCCAAGTTCTTGATAATCTCATGGGTCAATATTCATAATTTATTAGCATCTTGTTAGAGCTTGTTAGATCTGAATAAGCTTTAAATTGTCAAGTCGTAGTTATATAGGCATTTTAGGATAAAATCAAAACCATCCATTGAAACGAGTGTACCATTTTATTGTGTTTGTACCTTTCAAGTGGCTACATGTGTTTGAAATGTTTCCATAAAGAGATGACATAAATTATTGGAATTATGCACGGGATATTCCTGGTTCTAGTTCAAAGCAAAAGAGGTTTTAGAGGAATGCATTGATTCTCTGGTCAACTGTCAAAAAATAGGACAAAATTTAACAGGAGAGAAAATATCCAAATAAACCATAGATTATAAATTCATGAGGAAAATGTATCAAAATATTCTGTACTTGAAATTCATGTCTCTTTTCCACATAAGAATCAGCACTTCAGGCAAATTTGTTTTGAAGAGCAAATCGTCTAAGGTCTAGTGTGCTCCCATATTGAAAAAAAATTATCTGGGGCCAAGGAGATACCTCACTGTGTAAAAACACTTGCTGGTAACCTAAATTTGATCCCTGGACCCACATAAACTGGATATGGTGTAATCCCAGCACTTCTGCAGACAGATGGGAGGCAGAGACAGGAGAACCACCCAGAAGCTCCTGGGCCAGATAGCCTGGCGTGCACAGCACAGCAGCAGCAGAAATAAGATTCTACCTCAAGGTGGACGGTGAGTGTGACTCCAGTGTTCTCTGAGCTTCACATTCGTCCCGTGGCCTGTGTGCACCTGCCTGTGGACACACAGACAAAAACCGAAATAATCACATGGTGCCCCCCAATTTGCATTAAAAAGCATACTTTCAAAACTCATCTGGTGATGTTGTGCTTAAGCATCTCCTTTTCCTTTCTAGGATAGAGGGAAGTAAAGGGACTGGAAATTCGTTAGGGTCAAAGGGGCCTGCAATTCACTCCTGTGATTCGATGCAAAACAATCCATGGGCACGTAATGGATTATTTTCCCTGACTTGCTCTCAAAATCTTGTTCAAAACAGATGATTATGTTTTATAAAAATCAGCTCCTATGAGATGTAGGAATGGGGAGAACAGAAAAAGAAATCATGAATCATTATATGATTGAGTTTATTCCCAACAAAAAGTAACCAACCAACCGACCGAACCAGAAAGTTCCCAACTGTGAATGAACACTTTAAAGAGTGCACAGTGCTGTGGGGATGGGTAGCAGAGGTCTCCATTGTCTTCGAGGCAAAACAAAAGAGAATAGGTTTCAAGTGCAGGAGGGCTGCAAAGTCCAGTGCAGTGCATCTCTGCAGGGAGCTTTTAAGACTGGGTCCTGTTTTTGGAGGGAAGGTAATAAGCAGAGTGCTCCAAGATGGATGAGTGCTCACGTTCTCTGTGTTCCACAGAGCTTCCCTGGGCAGCTGTGACTTTCTGTAAGGTCTTTTACAATAGTATTTGTGAACGCTTGAGATTCTGTGAGTTAAGCGCAAGGGACTTTGTTTTCCATCACAAGACACCTGCCAGTATTTAGTGCTTTTTTTTTTTCCTATTGATAAATATTCTGACTGAAAACAAATGCCTCTGAATTTTAGCTTATCAGTATCTTTTGTTGTGGTAGAACTATTTTTCAATCTGTCCTAGTTAACTTTGTCAATACAGTTTAGGAATCTTGAGGAATTTCCTAGATCAGATTAGCCTGTGGGCGTAGCTGTGGGGTCTGTCTTGATTGTTAACTGATAGAGGGTCCAGCCCACTGTGGCTGGTCCCATAGCTGTGTAAGATAGCTGGCTGAGCACAAGGCAGTGAGCTAACCAGCAAGCGGTGTCCCTCCATGGTTTCTGCTGGATTTCCTAATGCTTTGTGGAAAAAATATCAAGCGGGCTTGCCTTCAGGCTACTATCTTGAGTTTCTGCCCCGAGTTCCTTCAGCGATGGGTTTGTGACCTGGAAGTGTAAGATGAACTAAAACCCTTCCCTCTCCTAAGTTGCTTTTGGTTACAGTGTTTTCTCACAGACACAGGAAGAAAACTGGGACAAGAACCTATAAGCCTGGCACTGTTCTAGGCTCTAAGAGTAAAGCAAGTGGACAAAACAGCCTTTTCGGAGTCCTAATTCCAGAAATTAAAGGAAGTAATTTAAAGTTACCTGAGCTCTTAAAGTGTTACAAGGTTAGGGAGAAAGCTTAAGTCATTGTAAGGGGGTAGAGTATAATGGAGAGGCACAGGCTGTTGTTGCTGTTTCGTTGTCTGGAACGCTTCTTTGATAAGGTGGACACAGTGTCTTAAAACTGAGTCAACCATGCAGGGATTTGTGGAAATAGTTTCAGGTGTGTTCAGAAGACTGCGCGAAGACAGAAGAGAGCCTGGGGTGGGGTGTTCCAGGCCTTAGTTTTTATCCTGA